CTCGCGTGCCACTGATGGTGGCAGTGTCAGGTGGTTTTGAATGGCTGCCTGACGCTGCGTAGCCCATTCACGCACACAGTCCTGTGGGACTGTGACAGAATAAGAAATAGCTGGCCGGGCGCGGTGGCTCACGCCTGTAATCCCAGCACTGTGGGGGCCGGGCGCGGTGGCTCACGCCTGTAATCCCAGCACTTTGGGAGGCCGGGCGCGGTGGCTCACGCCTGTGATCCCAGCACTTTGGGAGGCCGAGGCAGGTGGATCACGACGTCAAGAGATGGAGACCATCCTGGTCAACATGGAGAAACCCCGTCTCTACTAAAAACACACAAAAAATTAGCTGGGCATGGTGGCGCGTGCCTGTAATCCCAGCTACTCGGGAGGCTGAGGCAGGAGAATTACCTGAACCCAGGAGGCGGAGGTTGCGGTGAGCCGAGATTGCGCCATTGCACTCCAGCCTGGGTAACAAGAGCGAAACTCCGTCTCAAAAAAAAAAAAAAAGAAAAGAAATAGATATTTTATCTCTGCCTCTGGTTCCTAACACAGAGCTCCTAAAACCACTGAAATTCTGATTTCATCTGATTGGTCATGCCTCTCCTTTATCATATCTTTTATAATAAACTTATTTCTCTGAGTTCTGTGAGCCATTCTTTTTTTTTTTTTTTTGAGATGGAGTTTCACTCTTGTTGCCCAGGTTGGTGTACAATGGTATCAAAAACAATTCACGGCCGGGCATGGTGGTTCACACCTGTAATCCAAGCACTTTGAAGGCCAAGGCGGGTGGATCACCTGAGGTCGGGAGTTCAAGACTAGCCTGACCAACATGGTGAAACCCCGTCTTTATTTTTAAAAAATTTAAGAAAAGAAAAATTCACAGAGGACCATGATCAGCTTAGTTCCTTTTCAGATCCTCTGGGTATTTTCTTAGAAAACATTCCTGGCAGGGAAACTTCAAATATTTATTTATTTTAAATGTTCAAATCTTCCTTTTTTTGTGAGACAGAGTTTTGCCCTGTCGCCCAGGCTCACGCCTGTAATCCCAGCTACTTGAGAGGCTGAGGTGGGAGGAGCCCTTGAGCCTAGGAGGGTCAGGTTGTAGTGAGCCGACATCAAACCACTGCACCCCATAGTTGATGGAGCTTCTGATGATGGTCGATGGTGCGGTGGCACCATCCTCGCTCCCTGAAGCTTTTCACTCCTCGGCTCAAGTGAGGCCCTCCTCGCCTCGGCCTCCCAGATTGCTGGAATTACGAGTGTGTGCTGCTGTGCTTGGCTGCAGGGCAGAATTGTATTGAGATAATTGTAGATTCACATGCAGGTGTGAGAAATAATAGTCTAGACAGATCTCTTGTATGGTTTGCTCAGTTTTTCCCATTTTACAAAACTAGAGTGGAACATGGCAGCCAGGGCATGGATGTCAGGACAGTCCACAGATCCTATTCAGAGTCCCTCAGTTTGACGTCTACTCGTTTGTGTGTGTATATTAAATTCTGCGTCATTTCATCACCAGGCAAGGCCTCTGCGCCCACAGTCACGATGCTGGAGTGCTCCAGTAACCACAGGATTGCTCGTGTCATTTATTTAGAGCCACGCCCGCCTCCCTCCTGTCCCCACCCTGACACGAATCACTGGCAAACATGAATCTGTTCTTTTCTAAAACTGTGTCACTTTAAAAATCACATAGTAGGCTGGCTATGTGATTGTGGCTCACACCTGTAATCCCAGCATTTTGGGAGGCTGAGGAGGGTGGATCACCTGAGGTCAGGAGTTTGCGACCAGCCTGGCCAGCATGGTGAAACCCCATCTCTACTAAAAATACAAAAAATTAGCCGGGTATGGTGGTGGGCGCCTGTAATCCCAGCTACTTGGGAGACTGAGGTAGAATTGCTTGAACCCGGGAGGCAGAGGTTGCAGTGAACTGAGATCGCGCCATTGCACTCCAGCCTGGCAACAAGAGTGAAACTCCGTCTCAAAAAAAAGAAATCACATGAATGCCAAGTGAAAAAGCAGAAAAAAAATCACATAGTAACATTTTGGGATTGGGTATTTTTGCTCAGTACAATTCCTTGGCAATGCTTCCCAAGTTGCATGTACCAACAGCCTGCTCCTTTTCCATGCTGAGTAGAGCTGCGTGCACTGTGTGCACTGCAGTGCGTTTACCATTCACCTGCTCAGGGACACCTGGGCTGATTTCAGTTTTGGTCTGCTATGAACATTTGTACACAAGTTTTACTGTGAACAAAAGTGTTTATTTCTCAGGCATGATGGTTCACGTCTGTCATCCCAGCCCTTTGGGAGGCCGAGGCAAGCAGATCACGAGGTCAGGAGTTTCAGACCAGCCTGACCAACATGGTGAAACCCTGTTCCCTACTAAAAATACAAAAATTACCCAGGCGTGGTGGTGGGCACCTGTAATCCCAGCTACTTGGGAGGCTGCTGAGGCATGAGAATTGCTTACACCCAGGAGGCAGAGGTTGCAGTGAGCCAAAATCTCGCCATTGTACTATAGTTTGGGCAACAAAGCAAGACTCTTTTTTTTTTTTTTTTTTTTTGAGACAGAATTCCGCTCTTGTTACCCAGGCTGGAGTGCAATGGCACGATCTCGGCTCACCGCAACCTCCGCCTCCTGGGTTCAGGCAATTCTCATGCCTCAGCCTCCTGCTTTTTTTAAAAATATTTCTACAAATCCTACCTTCCAAGACTCTGTCTCAAAAAAAAAAAAAAAGTCTTTATTTATCGGGGATGAATGCCTAGGAGCACAACTGCTGGGTCTCATGGTAGCTGCCCTGTTTGAAGAAACCACCAGGCTGTTTTCCCGACGGACTGTACCATTTTACATTCCCACCCGCGGAGCACGAGTGGTCCAGCTGCTTCTCAGGATTCCGTGGTGGCACTGCTTTTCTTGTGAGTCATTTTAACAGGTGTGACGTCTTGCGGCACTTTTAGCTTGCATCTCCGTAACGGCTAAGGATGCTGGACGTCTTTGCCTGTGTTTATTCTGCGTGTTCCTCTCATGGGAATGTCTCTTCATACCTTTTGCTGATTTTTCTATTGGATGGCTTATTTATGTTTAATTTTTTACTGTTGTGTTTTGAGAGCTTTTTTACATTCTATATAGAATATATATTCTATATTATATTCTTTGTGAGACGGGGTGTGAAAATGCTTCTTCTCAGTCTGTAGCTTATCTTTTCATCCTCTTAACAGGGTCTTTCACCGAGCAAAGTTTTTAGTTTTTGTTTGTTTTGTTGTTTTGAGATGGAGTTTCGCTCTTGTTACCCAGGCTGGAGTGCAATGGCGCGATCTCGGCTCACCGCAACCTCCGCCTCCTGGGTTCAGGCAATTCTCCTGCCTCAGCCTCCTGAGTAGCTGGGACTACAGGCACGTGCCACCATGCCCAGCTAATTTTTGTGTTTTTAGTAGAGACGGGATTTGACCATGTTGACCAGGATGGTCTCGATCTCTTGACCTCGTGATCCACCCGCCTCGGCCTCCCAAAGTGCTGGGATTAGAGGCTTGAGCCACTGCGCCCGGCCGCTATAGGCTATTTCTAGGTCCTCTTCATTGAGTTAATTCCTATTTTTTGAGAGTTTTCTCATTCCTGTTTTTGAGAGGTTTTTTTTTTTTTTTTTGAGACAGTGTTTCTTTGCTCTCGTTTCCCAGGTTGGAGTGCAATGGCACGATCTTGGCTCACTGCAACCTCTGCCTCCCGGGTTCAAGCAATTCTCCTGCCTCAGTCTCCTGAGTAGCTGGGATTACAGGAGTGCACCACTATACCTGGCTCATTTTTGTATTTTTAATAGAGACGGGGTTTTTCTCCATGTTGGTCATGCTGGCCTCGAACTCCTGACCTTGTGATCCAACTGCCTCAGACCCTCAAAGTTCTGGGATTACAGGTGTGAGACACCTTGCCCAGCCAAGAGTTTTTAAAAAATCATGAAGGGGTGTTGAATTTTGTCAAATATCTTTTCTGTATCGATCAGTATGATCCTGTGTTTTTTCTACTTTCATATGGTTAATGTGGCAGGTTACATTGATGTATTTTTGAATATTGAACCAGCCTTGCAGCCTTGGAATAAATCCCACTTCATTAGAGTGTATAATTCTTTTTACCTGCTTGCTTTTGAGAAAACGTCTTACTCGATGACCCAACCTGGAGTGCGGTGGCGTGATCAGAGTCCCCTGCAACCGTGAACTCCTGGGCTCAAGCGATCCTCCCACCTCAGCCTCCTGAGTAGCTCGGACTACAGACGTACCACCATGACTGGCTAATTTTTTGTTTTTGTTTTTGGTATTGATGGGGGTTTTGCCATGTTGCCAAGGCTGGGATTCATTTAATCTAAGCTGTCAAATTTCCATGGAGTTTTTTATAGTGTTCCCTTATTATCCTGTTGATGTCTGTAGGGTGTGTGGTCATATCCCGTTTCTTTCCTGATACTGATCATTTGTCTTCTCTGATTCTTTTCCTTTGTATTAGTCAGGGTTCTTCAGAGAAACAGAACATATATATATATATATATATATATAAAATACATGCTGTTGGCTCTCTCTATGTGTATTTCTCTCTCTCTCTCTCTCTCTCTCTCACACACACACACACACACACACACACACATCTAATATCAAGAGACACACAGGGACAGAGAGAGAAAAAGATTTACTGTGCGCAATTGGGGGCCAGGCACGGTAGTTCATGCCCATTAATCCCAGCACACTGGGAGGCCCAGGCAGGCAGACCGCTTGAGCTCAGCAGTCTGAGACCAGCCTGAGCAACATAGTAAAACCCAGCCTCTACAAAAACATGACGGATTAGCCAAGGGTGGTGGCATGCGCCTGGAGTCCCAGTTCCTTGGGAGCCTGAGGTGGGAGGATCACTCGAGTTCTTGGAGGTCAAGGCTGCAGTGAGTTGAGATTATACCAACTGTACTCCAGCCTGGGTAACAGAGTGAGACCCTGTCTAAAAAAAAAAAAAAAAACAAAATAAAAGAAATTGGCCTATACAGGTCGGCTACTCCTAAATCTGACGTGGGAGGCTGGAGACACAGGAAAGGGTTGAAGTTGCAGTCCAGAGACCGTCTCCTGTGGAACCAGCGAGAGCTGATGTCGCAGCAGAGCTCAGAAGGCACCCGACGAGGGAGAGTTCCTTGCTCAGAGGCCATGGGCCTTTGTTCTACTCAGGCCCTTAACTGTCCACGTGATGAAAAGCAATCTGCTTTCCTCAAAGTCTAAGGACTCAAATGTCTCATCGAAAAACACCTTCAGAGGAACATGCAGAGTCATGCCTGAGCAAGCCTCTGGACCCCGTGACCCACCCGGGCTGACGCGGGCAAGTTTCCCTCACAGTTCCCTCACTAGCCTTTTGGTACCTGCGGTGTCTGGAACGCTCTCTCCTGTTTCGTTCCTGATATTGGTCATTGTCTTCTTGTTTTTCCTTTGTTAGTCTTGCCTGAGGTTAGTCACTTTTATTGATCTATATGAAGAACCAGCTCTTCGTTTCACTGATTTTCTCTGCTGATTTTCTGTTTTCAGTTTCACTAAAACCTGCTCTTATCTGTATTTTTCCTTCCTTCTGCTTTGAATTCATTTTGCTCCTGTTCTTCTGAGTTCTTCAGGTGAGACCTTGGATTACTGATTCAAGGTTTTCCCTCCTATTCTAAGACATGTAGTTAGTGCCGTAGATTTCTCTCTCAGTACTGCTTTTGCTGTGTCCTACGATTTTTGATGTGTTGTGTTTTAATTTCAATTTAGTTCAATATTTTTTCATTTTTCTTTTCTGAGACGGGGTCCCACCTTGTTGCCCAGGCTGGAGTGTAGTGGTGTGATCTCGGCTCTCTGCAATTTCCACCTCCGCCTCCCCAGTAGCTGGGGCCACAGGCACCCACCACAACGCCTGGCAAGTTTTTTGCATTTTTTGTAGACACAGGGCTTTGCCATGTTGCCCAGACTGGTCTCAAACCTCTGGACTCAAGCAGTCCTCCTGCCTCAGCTTCCCAAAGTGTTGCAATTATAGGCATGAGCCATGGCACCCAGCTTTTTTTTTTTTTTTTTTTAAAAAAACAGTCTCACTACGTTGCCCAGGTTGGCCTTGAACTCCCGGGCTCAACTGATGCTCTTACCTCAGCCTTCCAAATAGCTGGAACTACACCCGTGTGCCACCATGCCAGCCCTATTTTGATTTTCTTTTTTGAGATGGAGTCTTGCTCTGTCACCAGACTGGAGTGGAGTGGCATGACCTCACTGCAACCTCCGCCTCCCGGGTTCAAGCGATTCCCCTGCCTCAGCCTCCCTAGTAGCTGGGACTACAGGCGTGTGCCACCACGCCTGGCTTATTTTTTATGTATTTTAGTAGAGACAGGGTTTCACCATGTTGGCCAGGATGGTCTCGATTTCCTGACTTCGTGATCCTCCCACCTCGGCCTCCACGGGATTACAGGCATGAGCCACCCCACCCAGCCCAGGTTTTTAAAGAGTCCCACAGGTCCCCGAGGCGATGCTCAGTCAAGGTTTTTTCATCTTTTGCTCAGATTGAATCACTTCTCTTGTTCTATCTTCCAGGTCATGGATTCTTTCCTCTGTCAGGTTCATTCTGCTCTTGAGCCCCTCTAGTGAGTTTTTATTTTGGCTTATTGTACTTTTCAACTGTATAATTTCCATCTAATTCTTTTCTTTTTGAGACGAGTCTCTTGCTGTCACCCAGGCTGGAGCGCCGTGCTTGGATCATGACTCACGGCAGCCTCAGGCGATCCTTTTGCCTCAGCGCCCACCTTCCCCACCCCCTCACCCTGACTGCATATAGCAGCAGCAACTTCTTCCCTCCTTTTCTCAGCGGTTTCAAGAGAGTTTGTGATTGCTTACAAGCAGTTTCTCCGGGCATCCCAGTGTCTGATTACCTCAGTGTTGGCATCTGTTGTTTGTCTTGTCTTATTCAAGGTACGGGTCTCCTGGCTCTTGGTGTGACTAGTGATTGTTTAATTGTCCGGACAGTTTGGGTATTAGCAAACTCTGACTCCTACTCAAACCTTCCGTACTAGCAGGCGCTCATCACCCTGTGGAGGTACGGCACATCCTGCCCTACTTTTGTGCGTTGTGGTTCCTACGATAATTTACTTTATCTACTAGATCTGCTATTTAGGTGTCTACATAGTTAGGCTGGTGCTGCCGGTGGGGATAGAGGTGCCTCTCCAGGCTTCTCCAGCTGCTAGGTGGGCAATCGGCAGACCTGGTGCCAGCAGGGTTCTGGCTCTGCCTCTGCTGATTCCCCTCTGGGAGGGCTGTGGGGCTTCCCCAGCTACTGGGGAGGCGGAGGGAAGGTGAGGAGGCAGTAGGCCTGGACCCCCTTCTGCCACTTGGGGTCAGGAGATGCTGAGCCTGCACTGCCTTCCATTGCTGGCTGGGGATGGGAGGCTCCAGGCTGCCAAGCTTTTTCCAGTTCATGGTCCCCACCGGCCTGCTTTCCAATTCCCATTGCTCAGAGTCCTGCCATTGTCTGCTGTGCTGGTTCCCAGTACTGAAAGGTGCATTTAGCTGGAGGATCATGGAGAGATTAGTCCGTTCAATTTCCTCTTGAACTAGAAGTATCTGGTTTTACTTTTAATTTTTACTTATGTAATTATTCTGTGCATTTTAAAATAGCTTCATTGATATATAATTCACAGACATACCACACTGTTTACTGTACATTTAAAATGGACAGGCTGGGTGCAGTGGCTCGTGCTTATAATCTCAGCACTTTGGGAGGCTGAGGAGAGAGAAGTGCTTGAGTTCAGGAGTTTGAGACCACCTTGGGCAAAATAGTGAGACCCTGTCTCTACAAAAAATGTTTAAAAGGCTGGGGCGTGGCCGGGCGTGGTGGCTCACGCCTATAATCCCAGCACTTTGGGAGGTCGAGGCGGATGGATCACAAGGTCAAGATATCGAGACTGGCCGGGCGCGGTGGCTCACACCTGTAATCCCAGCACTTTGGGAGGCCGAGGCGGGTGGATCACGAGGTCAAGAGATCGAGATCATCCTGGTCAACATGGTGAAACCCCGTCTCTACTAAAAATACAAAAATAAATTAGCTGGGCATGGTGGCGCGTGCCTGTAATCCCAGCTACTCAGGAGGCTGAGGCAGGAGAATTGCCTGAACCCAGGAGGCGGAGGTTGCGGTGAGCTGAGATTGCGCCATTGCACTCCAGCCTGGGTAACAAGAGCGAAACTCCGTCTCAAAAAAAAAAAAAAAAAAAAAAAGATATCGAGACCATCCTGGTCAACATCGTGAAACCCCGTCTCTACTAAAAATACAAAAATTAGCTGGGCATGGTGGTGCGCACCTGTAGTCCCAGCTACTCGGGAGGCTGAGGCAGGAGAATTGCCTGAACCCAGGAGGCGGAGGTTGCGGTGAGCCGAGATTGCGCCATTGCACTCCAGCCTGGGTAACAAGAGCAAAACTTCATTAAAAAAAAAAAAAAAAAAAAAAAAAAGTCCAGGGCGGTGGCTCACGCCTGCAATCCCAGCACTTTGAGAGGCTGAGGTGGGCAGATCATGAGGTCAGGAGTTCGAGACCAGCCTGGCCAACATAGTGAAACCCCGTCTCTATTAAAAATACAAAAAAATTTAGTTAGGTGTGCTGGCAGACACCTGTAATACCAGCTATTTGGAAGACTGAGGCAGGAGAATCGCTTGAACCTGGGAGGCAGAGGTTGCAGTGGGCCGAGATCTCACCACTGCAATCCAGCCTGGGTGACACAGAGCGACTCTCTCAAAAAAAAAAATGTAGCCATGTGTGGTGGTGTGCATCTGAAGTCCCAGCTACTCAGAAGGCTGACGTGGGCAGATCCCTTCAGCCCAGGAGTTCAAGGTTGCAGTGAGCTGCGGTTGACTCCAGCCTAGATAAGAGTGAGTCCCTGCCTCGAAAAGAACTTGAATCAAATGTTTTTAGTATATTCTCAGGGTCCTGCGATCCTAGCCTCGGTTAACGTTTTCAGGATATTCACAGTGTTATGTGATCCCAACCGTAGTCAACTTCAGAACACTTTTCATCACTCCCCAAAAGAAACCTCACACCCATCGGCAGTCACTTCCTTCCTCCCCTCCCCGAGAGCCCTGGCAGCCATATTTGCTTATTCTGGGCATTTCATAGATGGAATTGTGACAATATGTGATCTTTTGTGTGCGCACAATGTTTTCAAGGGTTATTCAGGATTCGGCACATGTCAAGACTTCGTTTTTTCTGGCAAATGATGTACCATTTATGTATATATTATATTATCCACTCATTACCTGTTTTCACTTTTTGGCTGTGATGAATACATACCACTGCTCTGAATCTTCACATACAGGTTTCCGTGTGGACACATATGTTCATTTCTTGGGTATATGCCTTGGAATGGATTTGCTGGGATCCGGGACAGCTCTGCGATCAGCATTCGGAGGAATTGCCCGCCATTTTCTAAAGCAGCTGTTCATCTTACACTCCCACCAGCAGCATGGAGAGTCCAGCGCCTCCACATCCTGCTCAGCGCTCACTATTTGACTTGTTGGGTCTAGCTATCCTGGTGGGTGTGCAATGTGATGCCACTGTGGTTTTGATTTGCAGTTCCCGAGAGCTCATGATGATCATCTTTGATGTGCTTATTGGCTATTTGCAGTTGTCTATTTAAGTCCTTTGTCCATTTTAAAATCAGGTTCTAGCTGGGTGCAGTGGCTCACACCTGTAATCCCAGCACTTTGGGAGGGCAAGGCGGGCAGATCCCCTGAAGTCAGGGTTCAAGATCAGCCTGGCCAACATGGCGAAACCCCATTTCTACTAAAAATACAAAAATTAGCTGGGAGTGATGGTCTGTGCCTGTAGTCCCAGCTACTTGGGAGGCTGAGGCAGGAGAATCGCTTGAATCTAGGAGGTGGAGGTTGCAGTGAGCCGAGATCGTGCCACTGCACTCCAGCCTGGGTGCGACACAGGGAAACTCCGTCTCAAACAAAATCAGGTTGTGTGTTTTTTGTTGTGGAGTTGAGGATTGTGGGTTTTATCTGAGGGATGTGGGAGCTGGTGGAAGATGTTAAGCACTGAAGACGCTGGCTGCTACCTGGGCTGCTGTAGAGAGAAAGAAGCTGAAAGGGTGGGTCAGCTAGTGGGATAATCCAGGTGAAAGGTGTTGGCCACTCGCTCTGGGAGGGAACAGAGGAAGTGGTGACACAGGACTGTCTCTGAATGTATTTTGAAAGGGGCGTCAACAGGCTTTGCCAGTGGGTCAGAAGTGAGCAGGGAGGGACTGCCTCTCACCTGGAAGCCTGGAGTTGCCTTAGCTGAGAAAGGGGATTCGCATCCTGTAGCTGTTGTGACAAAGCAGCACAGCCTGGGGAGCTGAGCATGGTAGCAGCTCCTTCTCCCACAGCTCTGGAGGTCAGGCATGAGCGGGACTGTGCCCCTCTGAAACCCGTAAACAGGGGTCCTTCCTGGCTCTTCCAGCTTCTGGTGGCTGTGAGTACTTGGTATTCCTTGGCTTGTGGCCACCTCACTGCACTCTCTGTCTCCATTATCACGTGGCTGTCTTCACTCCGTGTGTCTGCGGCCCAATTCCTCTCTTCTTGGGGGGATGCCGTGTGCTTGCCTCAGTAGCACCTATGCTAAAATTGGAATGACTCAGAGAAGATCAGCAGATTGTAATGTAGAAAAGGATACCAGTCATTAGCTTAGGGGCCAACTCAAGGACCTCATTCTCACTTTTCTGCTGTTATTATTTTTTTAATTATTATTATATTTTTTGAGACAGAGTCTCACTCTGTTGCCCAGGCTGGAGTGCAGAGGCGTGATCTTGGCTCACTGCAACCTCCGCCTCCTGGATTCAAGCGATTCTCCTGCCTCAGCTTCAAGAGTAGCTGGGATTCAGGGGCGCACCACCACGACCAGCTAATTTTTGTCTTTTTGGTAGAGACAGGGTTTCACCATGTTGGTCAGGCTGGCCTTGACCTCAGGTGATCCACCCGCCTCGGGCGCCCAAAGTGCTGGGATGACAGTCGAGAACCACCATGCCTGGCCTCATCCTAACTTAATTATATCAGCAAAGATCCTATTTCCAAATCAGGCACAATCACAGGTACTGTAGCTTCGTAGGACATCACCAGATCTTTCTGGGGGACACAATTCCAGCCATAGCAAAGGAGGAAGACAGCGGAGAAGCTCGGGGAGGAAGGCCGAAAGCCAAGTGTCAGATGCATCGAGTGGAGGGGTCTGCAGGACGTGCTGGAGGAGGCTGAGGAGGATGAAGGCCGAGAGCTGAGTGTCAGACGCATCGAGTGGAGGGGCCTGCAGGACGTGCTGGAGGGGAGGCTGAGGAGGCAGCTGTCAAACCATACTTTTTAAAAGTTAAAAACGTTCCTCACACAACTGTAAACTGAAGATGTGTCAAAGATTTATTTAAATCATTAGTGAGGAAGCCAGCACGATGGTGAGGCTGGTTGGAAAGATTGCAGAGAGGGAAGTATTTGTAGTCACTTAAAAAAAGTTTGAGTAGGCTGGGCGCGGTGGCTCAGGCCTGTCATCCCAGCACTTTGGGAGGCCGAGGCGGGCGGATCACGAGGTCAAGAGATCGAGACCATCCTGGTCAACATGGTGAAACCCCGTCTCTACTAAAAATACAAAAAATTAGCTGGGCACGGTGGCGCGTGCCTGTAATCCCAGCTACTCAGGAGGCTGAGGCAGGAGAATTGCCCGAACCCAGGAGGCGGAGGTTGCAGTGAGCCGAGATCACGCCATTGCACTCCAGCCTGGGTAAGAAGAGCGAAACTCCATGTCAAAAAAAAAAGTTTGAGTAATTCTGCTGATTTAGATTTTAAAAAACCCAAAAGTTTGTTAATATTCTACAGGGCCGTAAGGAGGTGGTGGTGGAAAAAAAAAAGAAAAAAAATTCTACAGGGCCACGAACTGCAACCTTTCTTTCATTTTTTATTTTTTGAGACGGAGCCTCTCTCTGTCACCAAGCTGGAGTGCAGTTGGTGATCTCAGCTCTGCCTCCCGGGTTCAAGTGATTCTCCTTCCTCAGCCTCCTGAGTGGCTGGGACTACAGGCGTGCACCACCACGCCCAGCTAATTTTGTATTTTTAGTACAGACAGGTTTTACCGTGTTGGCCAGACTGGTCTCAAACTCCTGACTTAAGGTGATCCGCCCACCTCAGCCTCCCAAAGTGCTGGGATTACAGGCGTGAGCCACCGTGCCAGGCCAAACTGCAACCTTTTCTAACTGTAATCTTTTCAACTGGACAGAAATGATTTCTATCACTCACTACCAGACAAAACGTATTTGTGTTGCCGTCAGACAGGAATAATAAGCCATCTGTCTTCAACAGATCAGTCTACCCTGCTGAGCTGTAAAATATCATAGTCAATAGTAAATAGCAAGTTAAACAGGTGCACACTGCAGAGGATCCCAAAGTCTGCCCGGCAGGCTTGCTCAGGAACACTGGACACAGGAATTTGGGGGTATGTAATCCTAAATTTGGGGATGCTTTTAAACTTCCTCTTGGAATGATAAATAGCCTCCGAAGTTATTCTTGACCACAGAAAGCTAGTCTTGTGCTCTGACCTAATTCAGCTACACAGGTGCTGCAAGAAACGGCAATTAACACATACCAGCGTCCTTGTGAGGTGACACATCTAAGCCATGTGGCGTTAGGCAACGACCAAGCCAGAAAGTCAACTTCTGTCTGGAGGTGTCATCTTAAGGAATGTAGGACTGAGCCTACATTACACCAGATACATTTAGTTACATTTCTCTTATTTGTTCTTCTCTTCCTGGGCTAGGAAACCGAACGAAGTGGGTCTTCCTCAGGTGTGCCTACAGCACCCGAGCATGTGCAGGTTTCCACTATCTGAAGGGCTCCAGTGTCCTCCGTGGCTCTCAGCCTGCCAGGAAGTGTCCTTCTTACCATGTGTGAGGCTGATGCCTTGTGTGCCAGAACACAGGTGCCTGGCCAGTATGGGTCTGAGGGTTGTGTGGGCACATAGGTTAGGGTTCAGCACATACACCACAACCCTTGTTCTTTAATGTGGACATGTTGTGGAGTCACATGAAGTTTATTCTCAAATATAACATGCATGGAAGGCCTTGGCTACACAATCAATTTCTCTAATTATATCCTGGTGAAGAGGAGGACAGATTTCTACCACAACAATGCAAATTACAAGATTTTTATTAAATGTCAGTAAAACTATTTTTCCTGAATTCTGAAGTGAGAAAAACACCATTTAAAGAATGTTTCATTGGCAGGGCGTGGTGGCTCACACCTATAATCCCAGCACTTTGGGAGGCCGAGGCGGGTGATTCACGAGGTCAAGAGATCGAGACCATCCTGGTCAACAAGGTGAAACCCTGTCTCTACTAAAAATACAAAAATTAGCTGGGCATGGTGGTGCGTGCCTGTAGTCCCAGCTACTCAGGAGGCTGAGGCGGGAGAATTGCTTGAACCCAGGAGGCAGAGGTTGCACTCCAACCTGGGTAACAAGAGCGAAACTCTGTCTCAAAAAAATAAAATAAAATAAAAAAAACCTAAAAAACCCCAAAACAGCATCGCTGTGAACATGTATGCACATGCCTCCCAATGAACAAGTACACGTCTCTCGGAATACACCCCGGCATGGAAGGCACCTAGGAATATCTATTGACTTAACCTACAGCCGGGAATGGGTGTGCACACTGGGGTAGCTTGCATCTTCTCAAAGTGGCCACAACTTCTGCCATACAGCATGCTTCTCTTAAAATGTGATTATGACACATCTCCCAAGAGGCGCGGTCTGTATTTCCCCTAATTCTTGAATCTGGACAGGCTTATCACTATGGCAGAAGTGACACCGTGTGACTTCAGAAGCTAGGATGTGGAAAGTGATACAGGTCCAACCTGGTTGTCTTTAGAGTGTCGGTCCTGGAGAGTGGCTCCTGTCCCATGAGGATGTTCCCAAGGCCCTCAGCCCAGAGCCTGGATCAAAGTCCCAGCCATGTGAGTGCACCATCTTGAAGTAGCTCCTCCAGCCCCTAGTGGAGGTGCCCCAGCTGAGGATGCATGAAGTAGTCTGGCTGTGCCTGCTGAATCCTGCCCAAACAGCAGATGTGTGAACGGAAGACGTGACTGCTGTTTTGAGCGACAAAGTTTTGGTGGTGGTTTGTTATGCAGCAACAGGTCACTGACAGACATGTCCACCTTCACTGGGTAATGCCACTCGGTCATGGTATTTCCTGAGATGACTGTCCCACGAGGCATGCTGGCCAGCAGGGCACTGCTCCGCCGTGCCGTCATTACTGATATTGTCCCATATGAACGCTGGTGCCTCTTTGCTGTGGTTTTAGTTTGCATTTCCAAAGTTACTAGTAAGACGACTGCCCTCCCTTTCTATGTTCCTCTCTGCCAGAAGCCTGATGATGACACGGCTTTCTTTGCTGACTTGGGTTTTGCGCATTTTACTGGCTTGTGTCTCTTTCTAACAGATTTGAAAGGTGTTTCTAAATACTAATAATTTGCAAGGTGTACATATCTTCTACGTTTTCATTCTTCAGTCTCTTTATGGTGCCTTTTGAGGAACAAAGATTTGATAATTTTCATCCTTTTATTTATCTGTTTTTTTTAATTATTTTTTTTGAGACGGAGTTTCACTCTTGTTACCCAGGCTGGAGTGCAATGGCGCAATCTCGGCTCACCGCAACCTCCGCCTCCTGGGTTCAGGCAATTCTCCTGCCTCAGCCTCCCGAGTAGCTGGGATTACAGGCACGCGCCACCATGCCCAGCTAATTTTTTGTATTTTTAGTAGAGACGGGGTTTCACCTTGTCGACCAGGATGGTCTCGATCTCTTGACCTCATGATCCACCCGCCTCGGCCTCCCCAAGTGCTGGGATTACAGGCTTGAGCCACCGCGCCCGGCCAATTTTCACCCTTTTATTATTTGTGAAATGAAGTCTTGCTCTGTCACCCAGGCTGGAGTGCAGTGGCGAAATCTCGGCTCACTGCAACCTCTGCCTCCTGGGTTCAAGCGATTCTCCTGAGTAGCTGGGATTACAGGCATGAGCCTCCATGCCTGGCTAATTTTTGTATATTTAGTAGAGATGGGGTTTCACTTCGTTGGTCAGGTCTCGAACTCAGCTGATGTGCCTGCCTCGGCCTCCCAAAGTGTTGGAATTACAGGCCACAGCACCCAGGACCATCCTTTTATTTTTCATCTGTTATTTTTCAGGTGAATTTCTTGTAACAGTATTTACCATATTTATATTCCATTCAGAGAGGCTGTCTTTCAATAGATAAATTTAATCCAATCACGATCCTCTGATTACTCAAATGTTTGAAATTAGTCCTGTCAACTCATATTACGTGCCTTATTTATCATGCTTTTATCTTTTTCTCATTCCTGATGTGTTTGTTGGTGCTGTCATTTTTCTTTTCTTTTTTTTTTTTTGAGACGGAGTTTCGCTCTTGTTACCCAGGCTGGAGTGCAATGGTGCGATCTTGGCTCACCACAACCTCCGCCTCCTGGGTTCAGGCAACTCTCCTGCCTCAGCCTCCTGAGTAGCTGGGATTACAGGCACGCGCCACCAGGCCCAGCTAATTTTTGTATTTTTAGTAGAGACGCGGTTTCTCCATGTTGACCAGGATGGTCTCGATCTCTTGACCTCATGATCCACCCGCCTTGGCCTCCCAAAGTGCTGGGATTACAGGCGTGAGCCACCACACCCGGCCAGTGCTGTCATTTTTCATTTCACTTTTTCCTCAGCAGTTTTGAAAGTGGTAAATTCTTTTTTCACCTGTCTTGTGGAAACTTTCTGATAGTTTAAAATTGTTTACCTTTTTTTCTATCTATTCTAAAATCCTGAAACCAAACGACACAGGAGCTTTCATGCACGTTCGTCCCCGTGCCCTCAGCCTCGCCTTGTGACACGTTGACTTCATCTGGGATTTCTTTCAGGTGATCTGATTTTCTTCTAACAGACCAGACTGATTTCTCTCCTGCATCCAGGTCTTACCCTTGGGTCCACTTTTCACTTGGTTACTTGTTGTACTTTTTTAGAGACTGTGTGGTAAGTGCGGATGTCTACAGGCCGTGAAGACACCTCTATTTTGCTGTCTCACTGGAACGCTAGTTTCACTGTGTAGGAATCATGGTTCAGTTCCCTTAGCATTCTGACAAGCCCTCCTCTGTAGGCTCAATCTGAACTCCAATCCTTCCTCTCTGAAGGCCTTCCCGAGCATCCCTCTGACACGCCTGCACCTGAGGCTTTGCTCTTGACCTCTCTGAGCATCACTCCATTGTCTGAGAGGCCACTGTCCCCGTCTCTCTCCTGGTCTGCAGAGGGTTTTGTGTCTTGTCATCTTCTCTGTCATGAGACTGTCTTACTTTTGCTCTGTGTTGTAGAGAACCTGCAGCTTGGTTTTCATCAGGCGTCCTTGAGGTGGAAGACAGAAGGGTTCGGGCTCAGCTTGCTTGTCTGGCCACAGGTAAACAGACATCTGTAGCCTGGAGGCACGGAACTCCCGGGTCTGGGGCAGATGAGGTCAGGGCCCCAGTGCCATGTACACCGCACACCTCAAGGTTGTGTCTGCAGGGAGTCCTAGATCAGGACTGACCACTGGGGACCCTGGCTGGGGTCCTGCCTGCCCTCAAGTCTTCACATCACAGCCCTCACACTGGGTGCTGTGGGCGTGAGGACTGGGAGGACAAGGCCTGTGGGCTCTGCCCCTACCAGGGGCACTTGGGTGAACGAGGCCACCCCACTCTCAGTAAGGTGTTTGGTGCAGTGCCCTGAGCACTAGGGCCACCCCGCTGCCCCTGTGGGGAGGTCTGTCCCAGGGTGCACAGCTGCTTTTCCTGACGGACCTGCCTGGATGCCACAGGCTGGGCTGCCGGCATCCAGGGACTCCCGCAGCACCACGGTCCCAGTCAAATTCTCAAGGAAACCAAGGAGCTCCTGCCTCACCTTAAAACACCTTGGGGCTTGGCTGGGCGCGGTGGCTCAAGCCTGTAATCCCAGCACTTTGGGAGGCCGAGGTGGGTGGATCACGAGGTCAAGAGATCGAGACCATCCTGGTCAACATGGAGAAACCCCGTCTCTACTAAAAATACAAAAATTAGCTGGGCATGGTGGTGCGTGCCTGTAATCCCAGCTACTGGGGAGGCTGAGACAGGAGAATTGCCTGAACCCAGGAGGTGGAGGTTGCGGTGAGCCGAGATCGCGCTATTACACTCCAGCCTGGGTAACAAGAGCGAAACTCCGTCTCAAAATAAAAAAACAAAAAAACGTCTTGGGACTTAACCTTGGAATGAAAATTGTTATGAACCCGCTGAATTTCAGAGTGTACACAGAAGGCCAATGTGAGGGCAGAGACTCAGGCCTCTAAACTCCTGCCCGCAGATGGCATCTGCTCCACCTGGGGCCTCGCCCCTAGGGAGGCTCCTCAGTCCGGCTTTCTACCTAGTCCGGTGCCCCCACAGGGCCCCCTCCGCCCTTAGGGACCCCCACTCTCGGGTTAATGCCCCCCATGCCTTAGGGTCCCCCGGGGTTAATCCTCCCCATGCCTCAGGGTCCCACACTCTCAGGCTAATCCCCCGCATGCCTCAGGGCCCCCACTTCCGGGCCACTATCCTCTGCCTCACTGCGCCCCCCACTCGAGGGCCAGTCCCCCTGCCCCAGGGCCCCCACTTCCGGGCCACTATCCTCTGCCTCACTGCGCCCCCCACTCGAGGGCCAGTCCCCCTGCCCCAGGGCCCCCACTTCCGGGCCAAACCCCTCGCTTCAGGGCCCCCCACTTCCGGGCCAACTCACCTGCCTCAGGGCCCCCCAACTCCCGGCCCAGTCCCCCCGCGCCTCAGGGCCCCACTCCCGGGTCAACGCCTTCCTGCCTCAGGGCCCCCCACTCCCGGCTGGTGTCCCCCACTCAGGTTCCCTCATCCTCCATCCTCCCGACGCCCTCAGGCCCCGCACTCCAGGCCCGGTCCTCCGTAACTCAAGGCCCCCCACACCCCGCCGGGTCCCCGCCGCCTCAGGGGCACGACTTCCCCCGGCTCCTCGCGGCGCCCCCTCCCCCGTGCGCGGCCGAGGCGGCGGACTCCGCGCGTCATGGCGGCGGCGGGCGGGGCGCGTCTAGCACGCAGCGCGCCGGGCGGAGCGCTCGCCGCATTGTTTGCTTCGCTGGGGAGCGAGCGAGCGACCCGGCCCGGGCGTCCGAGCCAGCCCCGCGCCCCGCGCCCCGCGCCCGCCGCCCGCGCCCGCCGGCCGGGCCCCCCGAGCCGGGCCTCCAGCCGGGCCCCGAACCCGCGCCGCGCGAGCCGCCGCCCGAGAGCCCGCGGCCGCCGCTGCCGGGCCCGGAGTCGCCGCGGCCGAGAGGAGCCCGCGCCCAGGAGCGGCGGCGGGGCCCGGCCTGCGCGGCCGTTGGCGGAGGAGCCGCGGGCGCCATTAGCGCCGCCTCGGCCGCGCCGGCCCCCGCGCCCGCCCGCCCGCCCGCCGGGCTCCCGCGGCCGCGGCGCCCCGAAGGTGAGTGGGCGGCGACGGGGCAGGGAAGGGCCTCCCACCGCCTCGCCGGCCGCCCGGGCCTCTGCCGCCGCCGCCTCGGCCCGGCCTCTCGGGGTTGTGGTGCCGACGCCATGTTTGGCGGCGGCGGCGGCGGCGGCTCCGCATTGTCCGCGGGCGGGGAGCCCGGGGAGGTCGGGCCGGGCGGCCGGGGGGACGGGGAGGCCGCGCTGGGAGACGGGGAGGTCGGGCCGGGCGGCGGAGGGAGGCCGAGTGGGGCTGCGGGTGTCGGCGGCCTTGGCCGGGGAGTCCGCGCTGGAGTCGGGTCGGGCCTCGGGCAGCCGCCGCGCCGGCCGGGCCGCCCCTTATGTAACCGCCGGGCCCGCCGGGCTCTGCCGAGAAGGGAGCTCCCCGTGAGCAGGGACGCGCCCCGGGATCGCGCCGCAGCCGCGCGGCCTGGCTTAGGAACCGGCGCCGCGGCCGCCCCGGGCGTTTGCGGGGAGACGGACGCCGGGCTTCGCGGGCCTTTCCGGGGAGCGTCGGTCGCGGGCAGCGCGACTCCTGGGAAGCCCCGTCCCCCCGCCCGCGCGGCGGAGTCAGTGGGACCCGCGGATGTGCGCCCGGCCCGCGCCGCCCCGAGTGCCGTGTGCTCAACACAACTTCGCGCAACTCGGCGCCGCGGAGGGGCCTGGCGCGGACGCGGCTTCTCCCCGGGCGGGCGGCGGGAACATGGACGCGGTCGGCTCCGGGGCAGCCCTTCCCGCCCTCGGCTCCCGGAGCGCTGGGGATGTGCCGGAGAGAACTGTTCCTCGAGACGCTCCGTGCGATCCCTCCCGCTGGACGTGCTCGTCCTCGCCCCGAAGGGCCAGGAACGGAACCGGCCCGGGCGCGAACCGGTGCCGCGGAGGAGGGCGCGGGTCGGCCGGCGCTGCCAAGAGGCTGCTTTCCGCGGGTCCCAGGGGCGTTCGGGTTGCAGAGCCGCCGGGGCGGTTAAGCCGGCGTCCGGTTCGCCCCGTGTAGAAAGGGTTTGGGTGAGGAGCTCCCGGCTCCCGGGTGCAGACTGGGTTTCCAAGGGCCGCCCGTCTTCAGGGCGACTCAGAGCTTCGCTGTCGAGGGGACAATTACAGGTTCGTTTCTGATCTGCTGAGTAAAGCACCTGTTGCTTCTGCCCCACCGCGGTAATGACGCGTGTCGCGGTGCCTGGTGCACTCGGGTCGCTCAGTGCAGGCTTTGGTGTCACCTCCGCTGGGCTCGCGGGCCGGCTGGGGGGTGGCTGTGCTGACAGCCCCCCTCCCCCCCCCGGGAACCCAGGGCCGAGTGCGCACCTGGAGACCCCGGAGACGCGGGGGGCGCTGAGGTTTGGCTCAGTGACCGCTGTTCTCGCTGTAGGTAATGGGTAACTGCAGCCTGGTTTCGACATACTATGGGGATTTCTGGCTGCAGGGTCTGTCTTAAGAAGTGCTCTTTAAAGTCTGCTGGGATTTCCTTTCGGGACTCACAGGGGAAGCCTGCTCCTGGAGGGCTTTTCCTGAGGCCCCTGCTGGTGCCCTGCCACCCCCCCACCCCGCCCCTGAGGCCAGGCGTCCCTGACCTGGCAGAGCTGCATGCACAGTGGGCCTTGGGCTTCTGCTGAGATTTGTTTTGCGAGTCAGTCACTGAGAAATCATTCTGCTTCCTGTCGGTGAAGTGTGGCTCTTTGGAGGGAGGTCTTCACAGGAGGTTCGCACACATCATGCACCCCAGGGACAGCTGGGAGTAGACCCAGTCTGTGGTGTTTGGACATCAGAGGCCTCTGCCACAAGGAGCTGGAGGTATGGGTAGCAGTTCATTGGTTTTGCCCACCTCTGGGAAAGTAAATTCCCCTAGGTCTCCATGGCTAAGTCTTTTTTTTTTTTTTTTTTTCTTAAGATGGAGTTTTGCTTTGCTGCCCAGGCTGGAGTGCAGTGGCGCGATTTTGGCTCACCGCAACCTCCGTCTCCTGGGTTAAACTGATTCTCTTGCCTCAGCCTACCGAGTAGCTGGGATTACAGGCACCTGCCAGCATGCCCAGCTAATTTTTGTGTTTTTAGTAGAGATGGCATTTCATCATGTTGACCAGGCTGGTCTCTTAACTCCTGACCCCAAGGGGTCTGCCCACCTTGGCCTCTGTGGCCAAGTTTTCAGGCACCTGTGCCAGCGATGGCAACCCTCCTGGTGCGGGTCTGCAAGTAGCATGGGGTCCTGGGGGTTGGCTCTTGCTGTGGAGTCTGAGCAGAGCGTCTGCCTCCACGTGTGCCAGGGAGAGCAGAGATGGCCTTTGGCATGTTGCAAGTACCTGGATCTGCTTGGAGAGGAGGCGGGCGTGGCCAGCACCATGGTCTCGCTGGGGCGAGGAGAGCCTGGAGGGGAGGGGCAGGTTGGCTGGACCCGTGGGGGTTTCCATGGTTGTCAACTGCCAAGGCTCTGCAGAAGCGGGATTGGGGCCTCCTAGGGGCAAAGACTGTCCCTTCAGACCACTACAGGGCTCTGCTCTTGGTCCCCTGTGCTGTGGTGTGCATGTGGAGGGCGTGTCTATGGAGGACAGGCCATGGTCTGGCTCCTACCCCTGGCCCCAGCAAGAATGCTGCAAGGACTGTGGTGCCCTTGGGTTCATGGGGGTGCTCTCCTGGGAGCACTGGGGAGGGGAAGAGAGTGGTTTAGGGGGAGCATCTGATGGGACCAGGTAGCCACTGAGCATACCTGTCTGGTGGGTGTAGCCACTGTGCCGGGCGGGGAGGGGGGCGGCAGCCCTGTATGTGGACGGTCCTGCAGCCGTGGGCTCTGGGATGGACCCTTATTCGTGGGGAGTGTTGCCATGGTCTGAGAGCGGACTGGTGAGTGGTGGGAACCTGGAGGGCTGGAGGGCGCTCCTCAGTCTGCCTCCCCCCACTCTGCCCCTGTTTGCCCCTGCTCTCTCCCTGGTTCTGGGGAGTTGTTCAGGCCTGGATGGGTGTTTTTTTTTTGGAAACCTCAGGAAGAAGTTAGCTGGGTTTTGTGGACCGGGCGCGGTGGCTCACGCCTGTAATCCCAGCACTTTGGGAGGCCTAGGTGGGTGGATCACGAGGTCAAGAGATCGAGACCATCCTGGTCAACATGGTGAAACCCTGTCTCTACTAAAAATACAAAAAATTAGGTGGGCATGGTGGTGCACGCCTGTAATCCCAGCTACTCAGGAGGCTGAGGCAGGAGAATTGCCTGAACCAGGAGGCGGAGGTTGTGGTGAGCTGAGATCACGCCATTGCACTCCAGCCTGGGTAACAAGAGCAAAACTCCGTCTCAAAAAAAAAAAAAAAAAAAAAGTTAGCTGAGTTTTGCCTCAGTTGGGCCTTGAGTTGGTGAGCTAGCTCTGTCCAAGTGTACTTTGGTTTCTTTCTCAAGTCTTTTGTCACCCTGCGGAGAATTAACCCTACCTTTGCCTTTATTTCAGGTAATCATTACCAAATGAGGAGGAAAGGACGATGCCATCGAGGCTCAGCAGCGAGGCACCCTTCCTCCCCGTGCAGTGTTAAGCACTCCCCCACCCGAGAAACACTGACCTACGCTCAGGCTCAGAGGATGGTGGAGATAGAGATTGAAGGGCGCCTGCACAGGATCAGTATTTTTGATCCCTTGGAGATCATATTAGAAGATGACCTCACTGCTCAGGAGATGAGTGAGTGCAACAGCAATAAGGAAAACAGCGAACGGCCCCCTGTCTGCCTAAGAACTAAGCGGCACAAAAACAACAGAGTCAAAAAGAAAAATGAAGCCCTCCCCAGCGCCCACGGCACGCTGGCCTCGGCCAGTGCCCTCCCGGAGCCCAAGGTGCGCGTTGTGGAGTACAGTCCGCCGTCCGCCCCCAGGCGGCCTCCGGCCTACTACAAGTTCATCGAGAAGTCGGCTGAGGAGCTGGACAACGAGGTGGAGTACGACATGGATGAGGAGGACTACGCCTGGCTGGAGATTGTCAACGAGAAGCGCAAGGGCGACTGTGTCCCCGCCGTGTCACAGAGCATGTTTGAGTTCCTGATGGACCGCTTCGAGAAGGAGTCGCACTGCGAGAACCAGAAGCAGGGCGAGCAGCAGTCCCTGATCGACGAGGACGCCGTGTGCTGCATCTGTATGGACGGAGAGTGCCAGAACAGCAACGTGATCCTCTTCTGCGACATGTGTAACCTGGCCGTGCACCAGGAGTGCTACGGGGTGCCCTACATCCCCGAGGGCCAGTGGCTCTGCCGCCACTGCCTGCAGTCCCGGGCGCGGCCTGCCGACTGTGTGCTGTGCCCCAACAAGGGCGGTGCCTTCAAAAAGACAGACGATGACCGCTGGGGCCACGTGGTGTGTGCCCTGTGGATCCCGGAGGTCGGCTTTGCCAACACGGTGTTCATCGAGCCCATCGACGGGGTGCGGAACATCCCCCCCGCCCGGTGGAAACTGACGTGCTACCTCTGTAAGCAGAAGGGCGTGGGTGCCTGCATCCAGTGCCACAAAGCGAACTGCTACACAGCATTCCATGTGACGTGTGCCCAGAAGGCCGGCCTGTACATGAAAATGGAGCCCGTGAAGGAACTGACTGGTGGCGGCACCACCTTCTCCGTCAGAAAGACCGCTTACTGTGACGTCCACACACCTCCAGGCTGCACCCGGAGGCCTCTGAACATTTACGGGGATGTCGAGATGAAAAACGGTGTCTGTCGAAAAGAGAGCTCGGTCAAAACGGTCAGGTCCACGTCCAAAGTCAGGAAGAAAGCGAAAAAGGCCAAGAAAGCTCTGGCCGAGCCTTGCGCGGTCCTGCCGACCGTGTGCGCTCCTTATATTCCCCCGCAGAGGTAAGCGCGGCCAAGCATTGGGGCCACAAGGAGCCTGCGGTGCGGGACCCTGGGAGGACCGGGCACAGCCTGCAGAGCCCGTGCTGGGTAGTCGTTTGCGTTTCTGTTGGCGCAGCTTCCTAACCCCCAGAAGTGTGGTTCTGCTCATTTGCCACGGCTTCTGGGGGAATAGATGGAAAACGTTTTAGTCTGTAGGCTTGGAATGAGCTATGGTTTTCTAGTTTTTTTTGAGACGAGTTTTATTCTTGTTGCCCGGGCTGGAGTGAGTGCAGTGGCGGGATCTCGGTCGGCTCACTGCAACCTCCACCTCCCAGATTCAAGTCATTCTCTTGCCTCAGCCTCCCGAGTAGCTGGGATTATAGGCGTGAGCCACCACACCCAGCTAATTTTTGTATTAGTAGAGAGGGGTTTCACCATGTTGGTCAGGATGGTCTTGAACTCCCTTCCTTGTGATCTGCCCGCCTCGGCCTCCCAAAATGTTGGGATTATAGGCATGAGCCACTGCACCCGGCCTCTTATTTTTTTTAACTTTTCCCGTGAGTCAGTGAATGATTTTTTTCTTTTTTGAGATGGAGTTTCACTCTGTTGCCTAGGCTGTAGTGCAGTGGCGCCATTCTTGGCTCACTGCAGCCTCCACCTCCCCGTTGAAGCAATTCTCCTGCCTCAGCCTCTTGAGTAGCTGGGATTGCAGATTTTTGCCACCATGCCTGGCTAAGGCTAGTTTTTGTATTATCATTATATTTTTAATAGAGACGGGGTTTGACCACGTTGGCTAGGCTGGTCTCGAACGCCTGACCTCAAGTGATCTGCCCGCCTCAGCTTCCCAAAGTGCTGGAATTAACAGGCGTCAGCCACCTCGCCTGGCCCTTCCCCCACCCCCCCACAGTTTTGCTCTGTTGCCCAGGCTGGAGTGCAGTGGTACCATCCTGGCCCACGGCAGCCTCTGCCGCCAGGTTCCAGCAATTCTAGTGCCTCAGCCTCCCTAGTAGCTAAGACTACAGGTGTAGTCCTATGCCCAGCTAATTTTTGTATTTTTAGTAGAGGTGGGGTTTCACCATGTTGCCGAGGGTGGTCTTGAACTCCTGAGCTCAGGCAATCTGTCCACCTCCGAATCCCAAAGTGCTGGGATTACAGGCATGACTCACTGGACCCATCTAGGTGTAAGGACTTTTAAGAATTTTGGGGACATAACTTTAAGGAGTAATGAAGCCCATGGAGGAGCTCTGTGAGACTTTCAACCTGAGGGGCTCTGGCCTGGGCTTCCCAGTGACTTATGGCATTGGGACATCCATTGCTGTTGCCTTGGCCATGTTTTCCATGCTGTGCCCCCAGTCTTGCTGCAGATGTCCTGAGGGCAAGGTGGCCAAAGAAGGGGAGGAGCTGTGAGCACAGATGGGGCCTACCCATCAGCAGGGTGAGGAGAGCCAACCTGGGGCCCAGCCTGCAGCCTGGCTGGGGAGATGCCCGGAGCCCCAATACCACACAGACCCTCCAGGACTGCCAGGGGTCAATGAGCAGGGCCCTCTGAGGTGTCAGATCTGCCCCACCTATGGAGGGGGAGGGTAGGACAGGTTGGGGTGCATGCATGCTGAGCTGCATTGGGTGGACGCCGGCAGGTTGCAGCCAGCTGAGATTGTGCTACTGTACTCGAGCCTGGGTGACAGGGTAAGACTTTGTCTCAAAAGAAGTTTTTTTTTTTTTTTTTGAGACGAAGTTTCACTCTTGTTACCCAGGCTGGAGGGCAATGGCGCTATCTCGGCTCACCACAACCTCCGCCTCCTGGGTTCAGGCAGTTTTCCTGCCTCAGCCTCCTAAGTAGCTGGGATTACAGGCACGCGCCACCACGCCCAGCTAATTTTTTGTATTTTTAGTAGAGACAGGGTTTCACCTTGTTGACCGGGATGGTCTCAATCTCTTGACCTTGTGATCAACCCGCCTTGGCCTCCCATAGTGCTGGGATTACAGTTGTGGCCACCACGCCCGGCGCATCAAAAGAGGTTTTAAGTGATTTTGTTAATATTACTCTACTTTGCCAAAGTGAAATCTGGTTTCTTTTCAGAGAGCTGTAAATACTCAGGATTACTCAGTTCAGACAGAATGAACCAAAAGTGCTCATCCTTCCCATCCAGGAAAACCCCTTGTCGAAACCAAGGTGTTTGTCTTTGCAAATTAATCTGACTGTAAAGAGATGGTTTTGTTTGGATTTTTACCTATGAGTCAAAAAGTCTAGGCTTTAAGAGCTTCTTTATAAGAGGTCTAACAATTTCAGCTTTACTGAAATTGAAGCAAAATAAACAAGATACGATCTAACAAAATGAAGAGCCAAAAGTCTGAAGTGGTCCCTTCCCTGGCCAGCACCAGATGCTGACCTGCTCTGGGAGAGGCAGGGCCTGGTGGGTCTACACGCCCCCTTCTGTGGCTCCTGGTGTTGGGTGGGCAGGACTGTTTGCATACAGAGGTGCTGGGGCCCCATCCAGGACCGACTGAGAAAACTCAAGCAGATATTAAAGGTATAATGTGGTTCATGTTCATTCTGTTCTTTTCCTGACTTAGGAATAGACTATTATTTCACCTTCAGAGAGAGAGACAAACGTGGACAAGTGTTCTTGGCCGCTCTGTGGTTTTCCAGTCTCCAGGGGATGCTGATGCTTCAGGCCACCTTCCACCAGTGGAAGAGCTTGCCGTGCCCCTGGCCTGTTGGCACCATGGTGCTGGACCCACCTCACAGGTGGTTGTGAGGGGCAGGCCCCCAGCACAGTACTGAGTACTGAGTACTGACTGCTGCCTGAAACCGGCTTTGCAGCCGTGTTGTGGCCTGAGAGGCAGCTGATCTGGCAGCCCTGTTCTTACCCTGTGGGCACTACCCCTTGGTGCAAGTAGGAAGCCTCAGCTGTGCATCTGAATTGTGTGTAGATGAGGGTGAAGCTGCTTCTTGATTTTATGTTTAGAGACAGGGTCTTGCTCTGTTGCCCAGGCTGGAGTACAGTGGCGTGATCATGGCTCACTGTAGTCTCCAACCCAGGCTCAAGCGATCCTCCCACCTCAGCCTCCTAAAGTGCTGGGACGGTAGGCATGAGCCACTGTGCTTGGCCCATGATGAAACTTCTTGATGTGCAGCTGTTGGCGGGGATGCTGAGTCCAGTTGTTTAGGGTGTGCAGTGACCCATGGCTCCGGTGTAGGACCCGTTGAGAGCATCTGAGGATGTGATGCTTCAGGCCAGCCAGTCACACTGGAAGAGGGATGTGTGTCCATCTGAGCAACGTTTTGGAGATTTTAGAGAAAGAGAATCTTCCTTGTTCCCTGCAGACGGAACAGAATCTGCCTTCAGGGACTGACAGCTTTTATAATTCTAGTGGTTTAAAAAGTTAAAGTTTCAAGTGTAAAGAAGATAGCTTTTTTTTTTTTTAAACTACACCGGCTGATTTTTGTATTTTTAGTAGAGATGGGGTTTCATCATTTTGGCCAGGCTGGTTTCATTGAACTCCTGACCTCAGGTGATCCACCCGCCTCAAACTCCCAAAGTGTTGGGGTTATAGGGCTGAGCTACCGCACCTGGCTAAAAAAGATCTAACGTTATTTTTTCTTTTCTGAGTTTAATGTATTACAATCAAATAATAACAGCAGTAAATAAACACTTTGAAAAATAAGTAGGGTCAGGTATGTGAGCCACCAGTAATCCCAGCGCTTCGGGAGGCCAAGGTGGGTAGATCACCTGAGGTCAGGAGTTTGAGACTGGCCAACATGGTGAAACCCCGTATCTACTAAAATACAAATATTAGCTGCATGTGGTAGCGCACACTATAAACCCAGCTACTGCGGAGGCTGAGGCAGGAGAATTGCTTGAACCTGGGAGGCGGACCTTGCAGTGAACCGAGGTCACGCCACTGCACACTCTAGCCTGGGTGACGAGTGAGATGCTATCTTAAAAAAAAAAAAGAACAATCAGGGTGCGGTGGCTCACACCTATAATCCCAGCACTTTGGGAGGCTGAGGCCGGCGGATCACGAGGTCAGCAGTTCGAAACCAGCCTGGCCACTATGTGAAACCCCATCTCTACTAAAAAAGAAAAATAGAAAAATTAGCCGGGTGTATTGGCGTGTGCCTGTAGTCCCAGCTACTTGGGAGGCTGAGGCAGAAGAATTGCTCGAACCTGGGAGGTGGGGGTTGCAGTGAGCCGAGCTGCGATTGCATCACCGCACCCTGGCCTAGGCGACACAGTGAGACTCTGTCTCAAAAAAAAAACAAAAAACAATCAGGTAGGTATACCCTGTATCTGGAAGAAAATTAAGTCAAAGTATTTTACATGGTAGAAGGGAGGTACTGCTGATGCCCTTAGTTAGACTGCTTAAGGGCAACTTGGAGATTTCTAAAGCCATTTCCAGTCAATCAGTGGTAACTGCTTGGGACACAGGGTAACTGCTGCTCCAAAGGGTAAAATGTCTACATTTACTTCTGTTTTTCTTGAGACAGAGACCTGCTCTGTTGCTCAGACTGGAGTGCAGTGGCATGATCATGGCTCACTACAGCCGCGGCCTCCTGGGTTCCAGCGACTCTCCTATCTCTTGCTTCCTGAGTAGCTGGGACCACAGGCGTGTGCCACCACACCCTGCTAGTGTTTTTATTTTATGGTGAGATGGGGTTCCACTGTGTTATCCAGGTTGGTCTCGAACTCCTGGGCTCAAGCGATCTGCCTACCTTGGCCTCCCGAAGTGCTGGGATTGCGGGCATGAGCCACCGCGTCTGGCCCTATTTTTTCTTCTCGTTGCCGCTCTTCAGCTTTATCAGTTTTTGTTAACAGGCATTGAGTTGCACCTGTATAGGACGACATTTGTCTTTAGTCTTAGAAAATCTTTTTCCTTTGCACCTGCTGGAAATTAGGGCTCCCTCAGCATGGATCAGTGCAGCACTCATTCACATGGGCGTTCATCCGCACAGTGAAAGACAGACAGCGTTTCACGGTCACTGTTGGCTCGTTGCGTGAAGTGAGGGGTAAATTCTC